GAGCGAAATTTGTCGTTCGTAAATCTTGACCGCCGGCTTGCTCTGAGAGAACGAGAGGCAGCGAAACGGCCGGAGAGAGTTACGGAGAGAGAGAGAGAGAGAGAGAGAAAAGAGAGAGAGAGAAAGGAGAAGAAAGAGAGACAGATAGCGAGAGACTGGATAATTGTAGATTCAAAGGAAATAATGATTGAATTATAAATTTAAAATGTATATGTTTAATTATCACTAAGAAACTCAACAAAACTTTTAGATTTCAAAATCGGAACGGTTGCTGTTTGTAATAATTCGATATGTCGCTAACTCGCACGTATTTGAATAGACTCTTGAAAATTGATTGTGTGTGGATCCCTGACCGTCGCGAATTTATATACAATCGTGGACTTCTGGAACGTTCGTTCAAGTATGAAGGGAATGATGGCTTAAATTTAGGCAGTCGTGCTGAGTCATGCTAATAATAAATCATAATAAATATGAAACGGATTTATGATCCTTAATCTATCGATTGTTTGCTCGGAGAACAATAATCCCGACATGCGAGACTGACTGTTTCAATCGAGATATAAAGCAAAATATTTAAATAACGATCGAGGCTTTACATTAATTATAATATACATTAACAAATATTATATTCGAATATAATTCTACTTAATGATTTAACATACCGCCCGCCTCGAAACGCTAGTTTCGAAAACTTAATTAATAGAGTCCAGATTAACGAAAGAGAAACATCAAAATTAAATTGACTCAAGGCGGAAGATATGTTAATTACATGAATCTGTACAAATTAATCAAGATTTATACTTATTCGATATCGACGGGAAATAGACATAGCTTTACTACCGGACGCTTATATTCGGATGCGGCGGTTTTTACAGTTACAACTCGTATAATGTTGTCAGAACCTGGGTGACATTTAATGACGCGACCTAATTCCCATTTACAGGGCGGAAGCAAGGTATTGCGAATCAGTACTAATTGGCCGACTTTAATTTGAATTTTGGGTTCTTTTCGCCATTTGACCCGTTGTTGTAATGTGTTTAGATAATTGCTCTGCCAGAGCTTCCAAAATCTTTCTGTCATTTGACGCACCAATTGCCATCGCGACAAGCGATTTTCGTTAATGTTTAATAATGAGGGTTCGGGGATGGCATTCAGAGGAGTGCCTATCAGAAAGTGTCCCGGAGTTAATGGATTATAGTCGTCGATCGAATCTGTGAGCGGGGCCAAGGGCCGCGAGTTTAGACAAGCTTCTATGTTGCATAAAAGTGTTGAGAATTCCTCAAACGTCAGAGTATGAGCCGACGACACGACGGATATGATATTTCACACTTCGTACGCCGGCTTCCCACAGACCGCCGAAATGAGGGGCGGATGGCGGGATAAAACACCAAGTGATTTTTTGAGAAGCCGCTTGGTTGAGAAAATTTGGATCCTTTAGTGTAGCTCGAAACGCTGAGACTAATTCGCGATCGGCGCCGACAAAGGTGGTTCCATTATCGGAATATATCGTTTCTGGTAATCCGCGTCGAGCGCAGAATCGCGAAAGGGTTCCTAAGAACGCGGGAGTTGAATAGCCTTCAACTAATTCAAGGTGCACAGCTCGAGTAGCCAGGCACACGAATATAGCGATATATGCTTTTCGAGAGGCGAACCCCCTACCGGACATAGCTCTTATTTGGACGGGACCAGCGTAATCTAGTCCGCAATGTAAGAATGCGCGAGCGGGGAGGGAAACGCGTACTGCGGGCAGATTTCCCATAAGATAAGATGGTACAGCGGCCTTTTCGCGCGTGCATACGATACAACGATGAATAACCGCTCTCACTAGAGTGCGAGCTCGGACAACCCAGAAATTTTGGCGCAACGTCGATAGGATCAGCTGCATTCCAGCGTGCAATTGTTGCACATGAATGTGTCGAATTATCATTGTGACTAGTGGATGGTCAGCTAATATCACTGGATGTTTAATATGAAATGGAAGCGGCGCGTTTGACAACCGCCCGCCGACACGAATTAATTCATCTTCTCCGATGAACAGATTAAGCGAGACAATTGAGCTTTTTGATGAGATGGGTTGATTTTGTGAGAGAGCAGCTTTCTCGAAGGGAAAATTCTGTTCTTGAATTTGTTTCAACCAGAAATTTTGCGCGGCTTGACATTCGGCTACGGAGAGGGCAAAACACGGTTCGTTTAAATCCGCACGGCGTTGCGTTGGAGGGCGACTTCGCGAAACATATCTCATAATGTATGCGGTGATCCTGATTAACTTTGACCATGAAGAATATCGCATGGCTAAATCCCATACCTCTGCGGGTTGTGCGATATGCGTTGTTCCGCGATTATTCCGCTCGATCGAAATTTCGAACTTGGAGGCCGTGTCTTGCATTGGCCACTCCAACTCCGGAAGGCGCAACCATGAAGGGCCGTGCCACCATAAGTGATGAGTCGAAATTTGACTTCCCGATATTCCTCGGGATGCACAGTCCGCTGGATTTTCTTCGGTCGCTATATGTCGCCAAGACGCATCTGGAAGTCTTGATTGAATTTCCGATACGCGATTCGCGACGAAGGTCTTCCATTTCGACGGATGTTGCTTGACCCATGCTAATACGACTGTTGAATCGGTCCAACAATAACGATTCGAGGGCCTTACGAGCACAGACGAGGATTGACACTGTACGGCGAACTAGTGACCTGTGCACAACAACCAGGATCTAGAAGAGACGACCCTGAGGGAGCAGCCACCGGAATAAAAATGTAAGCCGTCGCACAGGTAGCCGGTTAGAAATTTCCCTCCGGGATCAGCTGGTGCCATCGTGCCGAGATACCGTCGCAGGGCGGCTATCATATCGTAGTAAGGATTACCGTTTGATATTTGTACCGTAGTTGTCGGACGCCAGCTGTCCCCGGAGTCGCGGATTTATCCCTCTCAGGGGTGCTCGTGCCGTCAGTCCGTGGTTTCATGTAACGTCTCCGTACCGTGTAAAATTGTATCGTTCCCGTTGACGTTTTTGTTGTATCGATACTCCGAGCGTGACGCGGAAATTTTTGGTCGAGTATATCGCATACCGGAAGGCGGGATTTGAGCGGGTAATTTCTTCGCGAGCGTGTGTTACCGGAATTAAGAGAACGGCTCTGCAGGAATATTGTTCTACGCGAAATCTCCGCCGAAAAGTATTTAACGTACCGCTTGTTCGAAATTTCCGTTACGCGGACGTCGTGCTATTGTTAACGAAACGAAAGGTCGTGCGGCGACCGTTACATCGGGTAAACAATTTCCGTCTATCTCCTTGAAACTACCGTTAAAGAAAGCTTGTGTTTTTTTATCAAGACTTTGTCGAAAGTCACCGTTAATTGCCGTAAGAAAAGGTTCGATTCGAGTTATATCGAACTTTATTAAAATCCGTATATCGTCTATTTCGAGTTAAAATTCCGTTTATTTCGTCGTTATCTATTGTTCTTTACCGTAAATTGTCGTTGAGCGTAGAAGTTACCGTCACCATTGTGTGAAACTTCAGATTCGATTTATATCGATATTGAGCACGAGGCTCGCGCCTCCAAGGGTGTTCGTAAACCGTCCGCGTATAATCGTCTGTTCGTAAAATCCCCGTACACTCTGGTTACCGTTAATTACGTGGATTACCGCCCATAAACTAGTCGAGAATTGTACCGAAATTTGTTAGCGCGACGAACGTCTCGGCGTACGAGCCGAAATCGGCCGTAATTCGTTCTCGAGTCTGGTAGAGACTCCGCCGCTAATGTTCACGGCCTCCGATTACCGTCATTATTGAAAGGCCAAAACTATTCTAATACCGTTTTTTTTCCTTGTCTTCTTGTATTTCCGACTCGAAGTCAGTATTTCAAGTAACCTCTCTGAGATTATTGTATCTGACCTTCGCATCAGTCGTTATAATGTGTCCATTGTTTCCGCGGTTTATAAGATAACCGTTATATTTCAAAATTTATCTGCTTTCTTGTATTATTTTATCGTGTACCTCGCGTTCTTGTATATTCACCGGTATATTTACCGAGTTTATCGCTATTATATTGAATTTATCGCTCTGATATTGAAGTTACCGTTATTATATTAAATTTTATCGCTATTATATTCAATTTACCGTTATTATATTAAATTTACCGTTATTATATCAAACTTATCTGTATTATATTAAAGTTATCCATCTTATAGCGAAACCGATTATACGATTCATTGTGTGTATTCTAACATTTCAATATATGTAATTAATTGTGACCAAATAACTGAGTAGTCATTTCTCTCTCCTAACGATATTCTAGCGCTCTCTGTCCCGTACGATAAATACTTCGCAAAGAACTCTGCCCCTCTGCCATAAACTGAGCTTGCCGTTACCGTTTCGATATCGTGGCGCGTAAATACCGCGCCTGGCGCCCATATTCTATCTCCTTTTTGTTGGAGGGTCTGTTACCGTATTTTACCGCCATTTTAAGATACCGTACCGCCATTTTGAGATCCCGATACCGCCAATTACCGACACCGCCAAATTTGCACGCCACCTCCTCGGGAGCGGCGTTCCCGAGGCGGGCGACGGCGTCGCAAAGATTTTGGCCCCAATATCGGAGGTTAGATTCATAGAAGTGCTCGTAAATTCCATTAATCTTGACAATAATACGGCGGCTGCTAACTCTAACCGCGGGATACTTAAAGATTTTATGGGCGCGACTTTGGATTTTCCACAGAGTAAAGTTACTTTAATTTCGCCGGAAATAGATTGAAGACGGAGATACACGGAGGCGGCATAGGCCGCTGTGGATGCGTCGGAAAATCCATGCAGTTCGCACCGCAAAATGTCAGATCCGTTATAAGTCCAGCGAGCGACCGTTAAATCATTTAAGTCGGACAAAGACGCTTGAATTGTTTTCCATTGTTCTAAGAGGTGAGATGAGAGTACGGCATCCCAGTCAAGTTTAGTTTGCCAGAGCTGTTGCAGAAAAATTTTAGCTGAGATAGTAACTGGAGTACATCAGCCTAAGGGATCAAACAATTTCGCAACCGTAGACATAATCGATCGTTTGGTGTTTGAGAGAGTCGTTGGAAGAGATGCCCGAAATTGAAATACATCTAACGAGGGATTCCACACGATTCCGAGAATTTTTAGTTGTTCATCAGATTGTAGATTTTTGTTACAGGCTAAACCATGATTCTTGGTATCGATATCTTCGAGCAATTTAGACGAATTACTTGACCATTTGCGAAGCTCGAATTTGCCGCGATGCAGTAATTCGCACACTTGATCTCGAGCTTGTCGCAAGATAGGAATATCGTCGGCACCGAATAATACATCGTCGACGTACATGTTATGCTGCAAAATGTGAGAAGCTATAGGAAATTTGTTCCCTTCGTCAATGACGAGTTGGCGAAGTACGCGCAAAGCTAAATATGGAGCCGCCGTTGTACCGTATGTGACCGTTAAGAGTTGATACGCTTGTATCGATTCGTTACTATTTTTTGCCCACAATATGCGTTGGTAATCAATATCGCGATAATCGATTTTAATCTGACGATACATTTTCGCGATATCGGCAGAATATACGTAGCGATGTTGTCGCCATCGAAGAATTACTGCCGCTAAATCGTTTTGGAGTTTAGGGCCTTTCAGTAAATGATCGTTTAAAGAAGTCGCATTCGTGGTGTGACACGAAGCATTAAAAACGACTCTTAAATGTGTCGTAAGACTGCTTTCCCGAATTATGGGATGGTGAGGAATGTAAACGCATTGAGATTCGCTGGAGGGTTGCGATACCTTTCTCATATGCCCTAAGCGTTCGTATTCGTCCATAAATTCGGTGTATTCAGTTTTTAGCAAGAGATTTGCGGCTAACCGTCGGTGTAGTGTTTTAGTAAGTCGCTTCGCAAGATTATAGGAATCGCCAATTTCGATCGGAGGTCCCCTTTTAAATGGGAGGCGAACAATATACCTCCCGTCAGAATCACGCGAATAAGTTGATTTAAAATAATTTTCGCATTGTTGCTCTTCCGGCGTGAGCAGAATTTGACGGGGAATTTCTTCGATCTCCCAAAACCGGCGAAGCTCTTTATCGAGACTTAATGAGATCGCGCTGTGTTGCACCGTTATAGTATGATATGATGACGATGGAATCGATGTAGGGCCTGAGAGGACCCAACCTAAAATTGTTTCCTGTGCGATCGGTTGACCGCTTGGGCCTTTTCGAATTCCGTTAAGAAGAAGTTCGCTGTATAAATCGGCTCCGATAAGAACATCAATTGCATCGGGGCTTAACGGATCTGGATCGGCGAGATTGAGATCGGTCAGATGTTTCCATTCGACATTCGATGTGGAAAACGCTGGCGAATACCGAGTTAATGATTTTAAAATAGAGGCGGTAGCCGAAATAGTGGGATGCGATTTATTGAAAGGCGAGATATTAATCGGCGCAGCCCACCTACAAGTTCCAGCATTGATACCTCCGACACCTGAAATCGTGATAGGCAAGTTAACGCGCTGTAATTTTAACGCGTGACTGAGTCTTGAGGTGATAAACGTCATTTCTGACCCTTGGTCAAGCAGCGCTCTAACAATGAGAGTGTGAGCCTCTCGAGAGCTGATCTTGACGCGAGCTGTAGCTAATAAAACGGAGGGCCGCGACGGAACGGTTGAACAGAAAGCAGTAATTGCCGCAGTATCGGACGTCTCCGACGGAGAGGTTGCAGTTGTAGCATTAAGATTTCCGTTTGATTCTGACGTCGATTCACGATGCAACATCGAATGATGTTTTTTCTTACATGTTCTACACGAATATTTGCTTGTACACGACTGAACTGCATGTTTCGCACTTAAGCAATTTAAACAACGATTCGCTTGTTTAATTATTTCCAATCGTTGAGTTGGGCTTTTTTGTACGAATTTTGCGCATTTATTTACAAAATGAGGTGCTTTACATAATGGACATGTGACATTGGTCGCAAATGCCGTAGTGGTCGCGACCTTTGTTGAACGCACGGGTTTTGTATTGGACGACGTTAATTCTTCAAGAGCGTGAGCTCGAGACGCGAGGAAACTGTCTAAATCTTCATACGTAGGAATTGTCGTGCTATCACTTCCCTTTAATTTCCACGCTTTTCGTGTCGCATGATCTAACTGTTGAGATACGCGGAAAACTAATAAGTCACTTAACATTTCGTCCGCAGATCGGCCTAAATTTTTTAAGGACGCTATTGCGCGGTTGGCTTTATCGCGAAGCTCATTAAGTTCTACTGCATTTTCGCGTGAAACGTTTGGTAAATTATAGAGATCACTGACGTGCGATTCAATTAATCGCAGCTTATTCTCGTAGCGTGAAACGAGCGTTTTCCATGCTATTTCAAAATTATCAGCGGTAATAGGTATCGTTTTAATCGATTCGAGAGCGCGGCCGGTTAAGCTTGACGCTAAGAAATGCATACGTGCGAACGCAGTAAGATCTTTATTCGAAATAATTAACGACGTAAATCGATCGCGGAAAGTTTCCCACTCGTCGTAATTTCCGCTAAATGGGGGAATTTTAATCGGCGGTAAATGCGATAAAGAAAAGGATGAGGTGTATTCACCCTGGTTGAATATTCTGCTGGACGACTGAAGGAGGTCTCCGGGTGGTTCAATATCCTCGAGACACTCTGCCATGTAGTCCAACGTATTCTGATAGACATCCTCGTGTTTGTCGAACATCTGGTCCTTGAAATAAGCTAGGTCCTTCCGTTTCTCTCCTGAGATGCCAGTCTGAAGAACAGCGTGATTTTGAATGCACTGCGCCCATGTTTCCTTTAATGAAGTCACTCGTGATCGGATCTTCGCAGCCGTGTAATTGTTTTTTCCAATCTTGGTGAAGTTGGGAAGCGCCCTTGACACCGTATGGAACAGTGATAATTGCTTTTGACACAGTTCCTCCATAATTTCGGCGAGAGTTCCGCACAGATCGCCTCACGAAACCAAATCCGGCTCGAAGGACCAAATTTTATGTTTATGAACGAGCGAAATTTGTCGTTCGTAAATCTTGACCGCCGGCTTGCTCTGAGAGAACGAGAGGCAGCGAAACGGCCGGAGAGAGTTACGGAGAGAGAGAGAGAGAGAGAGAGAGAGAGAGAGAGAGAAAAGAGAGAGAGAGAAAGGAGAAGAAAGAGAGATAGATAGCGAGAGACTGGATAATTGTAGATTCAAAGGAAATAATGATTGAATTTTAAATTTAAAATGTATATGTTTAATTATCACTAAGAAACTCAACAAAATTTTTAGATTTCAAAATCGGAACGGTTGCTGTTTGTAATAATTCGATATGTCGCTAACTCGCACGTATTTGAATAGACTCTTGAAAATTGATTGTGTGTGGATCCCTGACCGTCGCGAATTTATATACAATCGTGGACTTCTGGAACGTTCGTTCAAGTATGAAGGGAATGATGGCTTAAATTTAGGCAGTCGTGCTGAGTCATGCTAATAACCCTAACAGCACATGATATCCTGCGTATCATCCCATTTTCATACTCATTATACTGTGATCATCCGTAAGATACTGAGAACAACTCTATAATATCTCTTATAGTATGATTCGGTTTTCTATCGCGTGCGTACAATCTCAGAATTTACTCAAAGATACGGTAAAGATACGTACGCCTTTCTATCGCGGGCGTATAATCTCAGGTTTGACGCCAAATATGGAAACGGTACATACGTTCAACGCCATCTGCATATGTTCCTGTTCCGGTCTCTTCCCGCTTGCTCGGTAATCGATGGAGTAAGAGATTTCAACGTGTTATCAAATCGAAGGTAATCCTTTTTTTCTTTAACTTTTATCTTACATATAATAGTAAATAAAGTTTAACAGACAGATTTTATATATGATTTACGTAATATTTTGTATATTTTTTACATACTTATAAAGCTTTTCTGCTTAGAATAGTTTAAGGTTATATACACAAAAAATGTAAAAATATAACATTTTTAATACATAATTAGTATAAAATATCTTAGATATACATCTCAGATATATATTTCGTATCAACAGAATAGTTTTACAAATTTAGAAGTGTTCAGGAATATCAAGCAAAAGTTCAAGTTGAACCTAAAACCGCGAGCATTCTCCAAGTAGCATTTCGGCGAGCTTGTTTCAGAAAAGGAATCATATCAATAAAAAAAAAATTGCTCGGTTCAAGGTTCAAATTTAACTTTGGTTTGATCTGGACACAATAATATAATAATATACAAAGTACAATAATATTACAATAATATTATTATGCTTTGCGTAAAACTTAATTGCACTATTTCCTTCTCTGGTTTGTCAAATATGCAATACATTTTCTTTATTATTTTTAAAACGTCTTAAAATGATATATGTATATAAATATATATAACTTTCAGCAGCGTTCTTCGCAGTATTCTTCGCAGTGTTCTCTCTTCGCAGAGTTCTTCGCAGTATTCTTCGCAATGTTCTCTCTTCGCAGAATTCTTCGCAGGATTCTTCGCATGTTCTATACAGTGTTCTTCGCAGAGTTCTTCGCAGAGTTCTTCGCAGAGTTCTTCGTAAGGTTCTTTGCAGAATTCATCACAGAGTTCTTCGCAAGGTTCTGCAAGGGTCTTCAACAGACCGGGTATGTTTTTTTTTCTGTTCTTGAAATTTTTTTAAATTTTATTTTGAGCACTTTGATCGTCATCCATATCTGGGTGATAGCCAAATTTTTACACAAAGGACGTTTTATTAAATTTACATTAAAAGAAAAAAATATAGTATTTAAAAAATATAGTATTTAAAAATATAGTATTATTTATACAATATTATTTATACATTTTCTTTAATATTTTTAAAATAATGTGTCTTAAAATGATATATATATAACTTTCAGCTCGCAGCGTTCTTCGCAGTGTTCTTCGCGGAGTTCTTCACAGGGTTCTTCGCAGTGTTCTATGCAGTGTTCTTCACAGAGTTTTTTGCAAGGCTCTTCACAGTATTCTCCACAAAGTTCTTCACAGAATTCATCACAGAGTTCATCACAGAGTTTTTCGCAGAGTTCTGCAAGAGTCTTCAACAGAACAAGTATGTTTTTTTTCTGTACTTGAAATTTTTTTTATTTTGATTACATTTCTTTTTCCTGTTTTTCAAAACTAATTGAATTAAAATTACAAACATGCATTCTATATTTAGACTGTTCAATCGCTCGACCGTGACAGGCTTCTATTAATGTGATAAAGCTGCTCAAAACATATACTATTTTTTAAATTAATTTTTTTAAATATTAAGGTTCCTGAGCCCAGACAGCACAAAATATTCGGAGAATATTCTAACAAGATTCTTTTATAAGTTCTAAGAATATTTGGAAAGAATATTCTATGTAATACTAAGAATGTTTTGGATGTTATTGGAATATTATTTGTTAAGTTATAAATGTTATATATATACAGGGTCTACCAAAAGTGTGGAAACCCCTAAATATCTCGGAAAATATACGTTTTACAGAAAAGTGTTTCCAACAAAAGTTGTAGGGTTTAAGAAGATCTATATACTGATTCTATCAGTTTGACCTTGGATGGCGTCGTCAAGGTCAGGTCAAGGTCACATTGACTTTTTTAAATGACACCCCCTACATTTGATTGCATATTCTTATAGCTTAATTCAAGAGCTTTCCAAAACACTATAATAATGTTCATTTTTATTAAGTACTTTGCGAGTTATGAGGGTTGAATGATAGAGTAGCGCCGGTATTAACATTATCCAAGGTGTACTACATGGAGGTTACTCGCTCGGATTTGCATCTGTTGTGTGTGTGATCCAGCTAACTAAGGCAAGATCGGTCGTGGATCCAGTCAGCAAAAGCAAAGACCCAACCAAATTACAATCGAGCATTTAAAGACCTGGAAAGCAATCGACATAGTAAACAGTAAATAAATTTGTGGATGCTCATTTATCATAATAATTGTTCGAAATGTGTGCGTGTGCGTGCGTGCGGTGCGTGTATACAGAGATCAGGTTAGGTTGCACCAAACGATTGCAAATGTGTTTCAATGTGTTAAAGTAAATGCTGAAAGTGGCTGCCATTTACTTCCTGACAATATGCTAATCTTTGGTAGAATGTAGAAATGACTTTACGATTCGTTTCAAAAGGTATCAAAGCCATTTCATCCCTTATTCGCTGTATCAATTCGTGAATGGTTTTAGGTTTTGTTCTGTAAACCTTACTCTTCAGATATCCCCATAGATAATAATCAAGAGGAGTTAGATCTGGTGACCGAGGTGGCCAATCCTCTCCTCCCTCATTTCCGTTCCTTCTTCCTATCCACCGTAGCGGAAAAGTCTCATTTAAAATACGACGTGGTCCTGCACCAAAATGAGCAGGAGCTCCATCATGCTGAAACCATATTTCTTGGAAATTATTTGGAAAAGTATTCTGTATGGCTGGAATTATTTGATCAACAAGTAATCTCTCATACCTTTGAGCGTTCAAATATTCTTCAAAAAAAAACGGCCCTATTAAATAGCCATCTATTATTCCGCACCATACATTTATTTTTTGTGGATGTTGTGTGTGAGTTTCCCGCACCCAATTCGGATTCTCATCTGACCAGAAACGAAAATTTTGATTATTAACTTCTCCTGTTAAGGTAAAAGTTGCCTCGTCTGTGAAAACAATTTGATAAGGGAAGATGGGCCGGACATCTATTAGTGCCATCATTCTTTCACAGAAATGTATACGACGCTCCTCATCTCCGTTTTGCAATTCTTGAACGTATTGCAATTTATATGGATGGAACTTGTTCTTCTTTAAAATTCTCCAAACCGACATGGGAGCAATATCGTGAGTTTGAGCGACTCTCTGAACACTAGAATTGGGATCTTCAATAAATGTCTGCAGAACATCAAGTTGTTTTTCTTCGTTGGTTGCAGACAATGGTCTTCCTGACTTAGAGCGATTTCTTACGCTACCAGTTTGTCTAAAACGTTTTATTGTTTTTAACACAGTGGACTTATTAATTCGACGGTTCGGATACGTGTCATTAAATAATCGAACGACATCAGAGAACGATCTTTCGTTATCACCCCATCCACGCATCATGAGGATAGTGATTCTTTCACGTTCCGACAAGTCGCCAGCCATTTTTAAAACGTTTAATTTTAATTAATCGTACGTTGTATTTGGACGATAACAATTAATTTCTGCTTGCTCAAAGCTGAAGTTAGAAGGTGCTCGTTCTTTGATAGCTTTATACATTCTTAGTTGAATTTTAAATGCGAGTTAGACTGCATGTAGTGCGTCACATAGCGGTAAATGAAGGAACTAACGAGACATTTTATACACGTTTTATGGAGCAATTTTTTGGCAATTTGACTTCAGCGAAATATGAGGATATGTTGAGGAATCGATCTTGCCTTAGTTAGCTGGATCACACACACAACAGATGCAAATCCGAGCGAGTAACCTCCATGTAGTACACCTTGGATAATGTTAATACCGGCGCTACTCTATCATTCAACCCTCATAACTCGCAAAGTACTTAATAAAAATGAACATTATTATAGTGTTTTGGAAAGCTCTTGAATTAAGCTATAAGAATATGCAATCAAATGTAGGGGGTGTCATTTAAAAAAGTCAATGTGACCTTGACCTGACCTTGACGACGCCATCCAAGGTCAAACTGATAGAATCAGTATATAGATCTTCTTAAACCCTACAACTTTTGTTGGAAACACTTTTCTGTAAAACGTATATTTTCCGAGATATTTAGGGGTTTCCACACTTTTGGTAGACCCTGTATATACATAACATATATGTAATGAAGAATAATGTGTTCATAATGTATATGACACATATTTTGAAGTATCTTAACGTTTTTGCAATAAAAACATCAATAAAAAATCAAAATTGACATATTAATAATCTAATCCTAACCTAACCTAATCCTAA